GGTTGTGTTGGCGGGGGGGGGGGGGCGGGGTTGGGAAATGTGTGAGCACTTATTCGTATTTATTCATTAATTTTGTTACTGATTTGCACAGAAAAAATGAACATAGTGTGCAAGAATTGGCGTAACGAAGGCAGTTAATGCTTCCGTCAGGCTTTACTCCTGGCCTTTCGCTTCAACTGTCTTTGCACTGATTGATTTTTCTTCAATGCTTGATAATAAAATTGTATCAGTGACTCGTGAGGCTGCACGGTGCTGAGCACCCTCTACCTGGAACATCATCACTGGTGGTCTTTGTTCTGCCACTGATGGCAGATTTCCTTGCAGATACTTCGACCTCACGCTGTTTGTAGTGAAAAATAACCAACCAGTGTGTGTTCTCATGTTCTGCTTGCTTTCAAATTTTTAAAACTGGCTTTTCCTATCATTAATACACTCAAACAGCAAAACCATAGCTGCTAGGCAAGTGTCCCGTTAGAAATTATTCACTCTCTTGTTTGTGTCCTGGCCGGAAAGAGGGTGAGTTTGCCTGTGAAGTCAGGGAGAGCGGCTGCTGTTCGGCTGAAGTGAGGGGAAGGCTTGCTGGGATTTCACAGGGGTGTTTTGTTTTGCTGCTTTCTGGAAGAAGTACACTTGTTTTTTTCTGCATTGCTTGATATTGTTGAACCTGAGATAAATAAGCAGGGATTAAGCTTATATGAATTATGCTTAAAGTGAATTTTTTTTCTTAATGGTTTTTGGAACGGAAACATTTTTTTAATTAAAATACGACGCAACACAATGTACTGTCAAATACAGACTTGTTTGTGCTGGCTGTATAACATGTGAATGTGGTGACTAACAGGTGAAGTGATGGTGGTGAAATTCATAATATCCTGTAGGTAATGCATTACCACCGTAAAAATGAAATTCCATCTAGTTTTGGGAAGGTGGACTTCAAATTTTATTTTTCAAAAAAGAAAAGTTCTCTGCCGTATGCTGGAAATGCAGTGGCAAACCGTAACCAACTCAGAGAGAGTCATTGCAAGAGCTGAAGTCAGTAACAAGCACTCAGGTGCTTCCTTTGTTGTCAGATCTTACCGGATTTTCAGTGTGGGAGCTTTTTATGGTAATAGAGCGTACCTGTTTCCTGAGGGTTACCAGGAAGCTGCAGGTGGGCTGTGGGCACTTGATGCTTTTGACAGAAGATGCAAGAGGCAGCGGGAGGGCGGTTTGCTTACCAAAAGCAGGTCGCTTCTGGAAAACAGAGGAGGAGGAGGAGCAACTTCTGGTTTTCCAGAAGGGAAGTGATTTGATTTTAATTTACGGCATTTGGAACGTGTTTTAAACGAAGTAGGATTTGAAGGTGGTGGGTTATCTACCCAAGAAGTCAATCTGAAATAACTGGATGAAGGAAAAAAAGTACCGACGTAGCTGTACTAGCGCAGTTTCTTGTGTGGATAAGCCCTAACCGCCCTCCTGTCTGGGGGCCTGCATTTCTGACGGAGCTTGGCGAAGAGATGCCACTCTGGGTTGAGTGTTGTTCCTTTGATAAGGCTGTTCCCCCTTCGTCGAGAAGGAATCTGTTAGAAACAGGAACTTGATCAGTTTTCTTTAGAAACACATCTGCAGATAATACAAGTCCTTGGAAACATTAAAACGAGTCTTTTCTAGATAAAGCGAACGCACCAGCATGGCAAATGCATTCTTGCCTGTAGAGCCAACTTAACTACTTGTGCAAGTTTTAAAGGGTTTATCGATGACACGGTTTTTTAGCTGTGGCTCAGCTTCTTAATATATAGGTGAAATCCATTTTGTGGAAGACTATTTTATTTCTTATCATCATGACTGTAGACTTTTTTTTATCCCAAAACCTTCATCCTAGGATGCCTTAAAATTTAGAGAACAGAGATGATGTCAGAAATGTTAGTGGCTGCTGAGGGGGATGTGAAAAAAAAAAAAAATAGAATAGCTTTGATAAGCATGTAAAGATAGGGAGATAAGTAACAATATTAACTTCTCAGGAGCTGAAGAGTCTGGACTATCTTTTTCATTGGAGAAGAAGTTGTACAGTGAAGGACCCAGCAGTAGCTTTTCTAGATGTGAGCCTTAGCTGGGCTTTACGAGCTCCATAACCTGTCATTGCACACAGGATACGTGAACTAATTTTCCTTCTCTTACCAGAAAAGCCAAGCTGGATGGCTGTGTCCATTTTTGTGGCTTGCTTTTAGGTAATGATGTGGACGAGCTGGATTCAGTTTAAAGGCGAGCAGGCAAAGAGCAATATTCTGTGCATTGTGATAGTGGGGAATGACTGACAAATGGGCACTGCTAGGGACGTAGGGCTGGGAAGGAAGGGGAGCTGTGTGTGTAAACGGCTGTTGAAAAGGAATGGGAGAACATGGTTTTAGCAGGGTTAGAAACACAGACCTTAAAGATCAGAAAAACGTTTGGTTTGAGTGCTAAATTTTCTAAAAGCAGAGAGCTTTTAGGATGAGCTGTGTAGGAGGCGGGTGTAAATGTACTTCACTGGAGGTACCTGGAATCAGGCTGGAGGAAAGTACGTCATGGATGGCAGAGGTAAAGCCTGGAAGGAAGCAGGGGGACCGGGCAACTTCTGGTCCTCACGTACAGCCCTTGCGACCTGCGAGTTGTTGAAGTGAACGGTGCTGTAACAAAACGTTTGTAATTCCCCCGTTCTGTGCCACAGCCCGGTTCATGGGACGCTTTCTGTAGTTGTAGATTACGATCGTTTTTCCCCAGAGGAACTGATACAAACCAGTCCCTCAGGGGTCATTTGTGAGTCAGGCGGCTGGTGTCAGTAGATGGCACTGTCTGCCTTCCAGTGCCTTCCTCTTCTGTTTGGGGAGGGGCGAGTGTTTGTATGAATTTCTTTTCTTACACCACCTGCTTATCTGTCATGCTTTAAATAGATTGCATTCGGGAGCATCAGAGGCTGACTGCTGTGTTTGGTAATGGTTCTGAATTTCTTTAAAAGCCTTTATTTCTGTATTATTCTTGACTGGCAGAGCACGTACGTTTTTACATGCATGGGAGAATGCACATACCTACCCGTGTCTGTTTGCCAGGGAGAAGCTACGTTAAGGTGGATTCGATGAGAGTACATATGGATGACAATGAGACTGTTGCATTATTCCAGGAACAATCATTATAAAAAGGAACTCAGCTTTTTTGGTGTGTGTGTAAACTGTAAAAGTAGATAGTAAATGTATCCAGATGGCTTAAACCACAGCCCTGTGAAGATACCAGGCAGTAACATTAAATTCTAATTATTGCACGTTAACTTTTAGAATGTTTTGTGGTTAGAAATGAATTTTGAAGACGTTCAACGGTTTCTGCTTCTTATTTTTGCAAGGGTGAAACGAATAGCCAGGTGGTCTGCAGGAGCCCATTACGTGAGCTGCGGTGGGCTCCCTGCGCTGAGAGCGGAGATGATGTTGGCGGCATTTCCATGTATAATGGGAAGGTTTCTGAGCCAGGGAGGGTGATGATCTGTACTGGTAAATGACTAGGGTGGTTCCTGGCATGCTTTTGGTCTGTATTCACTAAAGCTTTACCAGTTAGCACAGGCCAAGGACCGTTCTGAAAAGAAAGCTGAAATGCAGCCACCCCATTCTGGATGCTGGTGTGAACACGGCCAGGTTTACACTAGTTGATCTCCGGTGCCCGTGGACAGAGGTTGTTGCTGTTTGGGTCGCTGGGACAGCCACAGCTGGTGAAACTGAGGGACAGAAGGTGTTGTCTGGGGTTGGTTTCCCTGTGCCTGCCTTGTGCCTACTGTGTGGGACCCGAGATGTAAGGAAATCCAAGCAGGCAGGGTTCTCAGAGGTGGAAGCGTGCCGGGGTTTGGGGGTATAAATCTTTTCTCCCTACTCCTGTTCATACACAAACAGGTGAGGAAGGGTGTGGAGCGGCACGAGTGAACAATCTGCGACTTCAGGCTGAGGGAAATGAGAGGTGGTGGCTTCTTGGAGGGAGAGGAGTTCTTGGAGTCGGCCTTTGATAACCTTAAATTTACAGAGGCAAACGCCAAGGGTGTGAGAAATATTTTAGAAAGTCTTTGCATTGAATCTGCTGGGTGGATTTTTCTGCGGTGATTAGGGGGGACTACTTTGTATTGCAAAGAACCATTCATCTGGATGCAGTGTGCCACATTTCTAAAAGAATTAACTTCAATCTTTATCTTTAATTCATGGTTTGTCAGAATAACTGGTAAATAATCAAATATAGTTCTCTGCTAATTAAAGATGAATGATTTAAGTGTGAGGTGGGAATATGTAACTTTTGGCATGAGTGGACCTTTGGTTTGAAATTCCAATCTTAGCTTCATCTTGACAGTGGAGTTCTGGTGATTCCTTGAAGATGTGGATACGGACACGTGGACAGTTCTCTCCAGAGAGTGAAGTGGTGTATTAATCTTGATGGTCTAGTAGGGACTAAGGTCATAAACTTTAGCAGTATTATAGGTAGAGCTAGAAAGAATTTTTGGTATGATACTTCTACACCTACTTTCTACATTTGTAGGGCAGGTGGGCTTCTTCAGAAGAGTTTTTAAAGGACTAGTGGGGCATGTGCTTATTCTTTGAGCACTTTTGGGAAGACTGGCTTGGAGGCAAATCTTTGTCGAATATGGAAATGTATTAAATGTCTTAAACTCACCTTCTTGTATAATGTAGATGCTGTTGTTTGTGTGACAGGAGGGAGGTCTGTTTGGTTGTTCACACACCAAAGTCGTTACTGCAGCAGTTGCAGAGCAACAGCATTTGTTGGGCTCAGTGTTTTTGTTTGCTGCTTCTTAGTGACTTTGTGGTGGATGGCAGATATTCTTGCAAACGCTTTTCTCTCTTTCTTTTTTTTTTCCCTGTCCTTTTGTGGAAGGTGGGACACTTAAGATGTTTAATATATAATCTGAGTATTTTACTGTGGTGTATTCTGTCCTATGAAATGTGGATTAAGAAATGCAGCTTATGAGACTGTGATCAAATAGATAAACCAGGAAGTCAGATTGCCGACTTTGCGGGAAAAGTAACTCTTAACATGTCTTGAGGTACAAATAAGAACCTATTCAGTGTAATTATATAAATGCAATTAATTTATGTGCCTTTATTCGGCATAATTACATAAATGTAATTTATTTATGCATAATAGTTACGATTTTTTTTAGAACTTTTTATCCATTGGAACAGTGTGTCTGGAAGTTATTTCACTGTAATCGAGAACTGGACAGATAATAATTCACTGCCTAGATAAAAAACAATGGGAGTTAATTTATGGCATTTCTCTCTTGAAGTAGAGTGTCTATAAATGAGGTCTCCAATGGCTTCAAACAGCCATTTCGTATTCTTGTGGGGCTCTTTCCCTGCTGGGGTCTTGCAAAGAGCTGTTGTTTCTGTTGCTGTAGGAAAGGAGAAGGGTGAGGACCGTATAAATAAAAGCTGAGTGCTCTCTCCCAGGGAGACATAAATTGTGTGGGAGTGCCTAGTCTTCACAGGTTTGAGATGGCTCGGGGGGTAACTCGCATTCTGCTTGTCGTAAATGGACTCCTCCCTGAAGAGGTAGTGCCTTTCAAATGTTCTGTTGCTTTCCAGACGGTAGTGAGGCAGCTCAGCTGGCACCTCATCACGTCGCCAGGCGTGCTCCTTGGTTCCTGCTGTCCTCAGGAATCTGCTGTTTAGAAAGGATGGGGATGGACATTTAACATCTGTTTGGTGTCAGGTGTAACGTTCTGTGTCTCCACATCTATTGCCCAGAGATAGTTTAGGGTAATAATAGAGTTTGAAGTTTTCTAGAAGATATTTTCTTTGTAACTAACTACTACTTTTGCTTTATTTATTCATCCTGGTTGTGTGATCTGCAGCCTTTGACAGTGTAGCTGGAGGAGGCACAGTGAGAACGCGAAATGTAGGTAACAAGGAGCCTATGTACCGCTTCATTAAGGACCTGCTGAATGCGTTGTTGTAGACAAGAAACAGAAATACATTATATTCCCCAAAAGTATTCGCAAGCTGGAGAGAATCTGGAGAGGATATTGTAACCCATTATTGTGAATAATAACACTGAAAGAGCAATTGCATATGGTAATTCTCATGCAAATGAAGTGTAGAAAAGATTTCAGAACACTTTTATTTTAAAGGAAGACATGAATAAATTTCAAATTTTACCAAAATAAGCTGAGTTCTTGCTTAAAAAAAAAAAAAAAGGAAAGAAAAAACACTTTCAAATCATTACAAATGGTACGATGGAAAGTCAACTCACCTTGGAGGGTAAGTGGAAAAGCAGACAAGGGTAGGAAGGCGTAGTACTTCTGAACGGGTTCCTAAGAAAAGTGTAGGAATAGCAAGGTGTGTGTTCCCTCTGAAGTGCTTTTTCTGGCTGTATTTTCACAGCCCTCAATTTAGAAACAAAAGTGAGGGAAAGTAGTAAAAAGGTAACCAAAAATGCTTAAGGCACTATTGGATACGAACTAAAAAGAGCAGCGTGCTCTCAAAGCGCTGGCAGTTCCCCGGCTGGGTGCCGCTGAGGGCGAAGGGTAAAAGGCTGATCTGTTTTCCTCGCTGCAAGAGCAGAAAGGATCCATCGTTCTTGGGCGTCAGATCCTGGGGTGGGTTCCTTCATCCCCATCTGGTCAGCAAATTCCCTTTTCCTCACTCGCTGTTCTGTAAAGGCCCAGGACGTGAGAGAGGGAGAAAGCTAAGCTTGTGTCTGAGGATGTGGCCCTCTCCATTCGTCCCCAGGTGGCTGTTTGTAGTTTGATATTCGTGACCAAGGGGAGAAGAATTATGTGGCTGCACTTAAAACTGCACCAGGCAGTAAATGCCGTTGGCTCATTAGTGAATGTTTCTCCCGAGTTGTGCTCTCGTTTAGAATGCGCAAGCAATTCTTTTCTTCAGGCGGCCTTCGCAGCCGGGGAGCAAATGAGTAGCTGACAGGCTTACTTTTAACAATGCATGGCTCAAATTGTTGTTCTCTGAAAATCGGGTTCATATTTTTCCCCAAATCCCTGGTAATTCCTCACAGGTGTTTGTTGTGTTTTGCCACATCTTCAAATGGAAACACTTGATCCTTCCAAAGAGATAATGAAAGTTAAAACAAAAACCTCACGCTAACAATCCGTCGCCTACGTGTGGTACCTGTTAGAGGAGGAGGAAGATAAAAACCTCTTGCTCTCAGGATTCACGTCCAGGACCTGTGCTGCCTGAAGCTGAGTGGGTGTGAATGATGAGATGGGTACAGGGTTCGAGAAGAATTCCAAGATTTAAATTTTTTCGTTGCTTTTTTTCTTATGAAATGATTTCAGCATCAATTGGTGACCGTCTCGGTTCCCTGTCTCTTCAAGAACGGGTGGGAAAACGGAGAGTGCTGACCCTCGTTACCAGTGTAACAGGAAACTGATTTGATGAAGTTGATGCGGGAACCTGAGTTTATGCATTATTGCAGTTGCGTTTCAATTTGACAGAAACTATTTTTTTCATTAAAGCTAAACGGGAATAAACTGCCAAAGCTGAGATGAATATTGGCACAAGGCATTTCAGTGTTTTAAAAGAATGTATTTTACAGTTGTGTGCAAGTACGTGCCTACACTGGGGGGAAACTCCTTTTAGAATGATTTTATAACCTAGAATTAAAGAAACAATTGTGGGAGGCCTGGGTTTAAATCTGTGCTCGATGGTTGATAAAACAAATGTAAAATGGGATCACCTACCACAGCCTGCATTACGTTAGGTTTCTCAGGCTGGTCTCTTGCAAATGTTTAAATCATTCTGTAAAGCTTCAGGAACATCCTGCGCTGGGATATTGTCTGTTATGGCAGTTGGAAGCACTTTCCTGGAGGGCGAAAGAGTTGGATTTTTAGTTTCCTTGAACAGAAAAGCCAGACCCTTGATCTTGCACTTCTTGAGGTCTGTAACCCTCGCTTTTATGAACAAAAGGGTGATGGTATTAGTGCCTCGGAACAGCTGTGAATCTTGCGTTTGCTTTTTCTTGTTTTGCTTTAAAAATACTGGAAGACCGACCTGAGGGCTCTGAGATTCATTACACTTTTCGGTTTTATTGCTGAACAGCCACAAAATAATCCAAACCCAACCCAAATGCTAAAAGCAGCTTGCTGTGCTTGATAGGTGCGTTGCCTGAGTTGGCGTTTGAGCAGTGCGTTTTACAGGAGGGCAGGTGGAAGGATAAGCAAGGTTCAACGGAGTTCTTCTTCCTCTAAATTACCCAAGGACTCCGTAGGATGTCCTAAGTCAAAACCAACACCTTAAACCCGAACCAGAAATCAGTGGGTAGCTAGTTTAGGTCAGGAAGCACGAAGATAATGGTCGGTAGCTGAGAAATAACCACTTGTGCACAAACTGCAGTTGTCTTAATTTGCAAGCCCAAGCTGGAAAGAACAGCAGTGAGAGCAAGGGTAGCGAGGTCCGTCCGGAGCGAAAAGAAAAGCGAGCAGCAAGCGGTGACGGGACTGCCTTGCACGGTTGCGGTGACTGGGAAATATTTGCCATGCTACTGGCAAGCGAGGCAGTGATTTCGAAGTTAATTAGATTCAGCTTTTCTTTTAATTCCGTTTGGCATACAGGGCAGGTTCCCTAAAGGTGCAGTTCTGAACCTCAGTGAGGAGGTTGTCATGGGGAGCAGGTGACCTTACGGAAATGACAACACGTAATTCATCGTAGTTAGGGTGAGCTTTGCTCAGCTGACTGCAGAGGTTTCTTGCTCATGTGCCATTTGATAACAGGTTCCCATTGTCAGTGAAAATTTATTCAAAAAAAGGAGGTTATAATATGCTTATTACCTCGCGTCCACCTAGAAATCAGATTTTTTTTTTTTCTTTAGTTAAATGTCTAACATGTAATTTAGAAGCATTTTGCAAACATATTTTAAAAGCACACATAGTTCTTCATTATCCGTGGTAGCCTTGATACATGAAGCGAAGATTTTTGAAATAGTTTGCAATGTATTTGTAGCACATCGGCATCCGTTCTAGAATTAAATTTCTTTTGTTCTCTGCTCTTCTTTCTGATTTCCTTTAATGTGAACCTCGAGATTGAGCAGCTTTAACTACATTATAGGCGTTTGGGTTCCAAGGTAATTGAGGCATTGACGACGGGTTAGACTCGTATTTGAACAGCTTCTGTGCTGGGATGCTGTTCTGCTTGTGTTTGTGATATTAAAGACATTGCTCTTGGTCTGAATTTGTTACGGGAGATCTGGGAGATCCGTATCTAGCCTTTGATTACGTGATCTCGTGGTATTTTTCCGTCCTACGTTCTGCATCGAGCGCATCGCGCTCGCTGGGAGAGCGTCTGTTCAACGTTACGCTTTGTCCCTGCTGTTGCAGTAGAAGGCTCCATGTTTTGTCTCTTCTATTAAGTCCCCCCTGGGAAAACAAAGTGATTTGCGGAATTTTGTGTTGTGCTCAAGTATCTTCACGGCCGTAGGAGATGAGGAGGTGATGTTTTTCCCGATTTACAGATGAGGAACTGAGGCGAGGCGAAGGTGTAGACGGAAGTGCCTAGAAGTTCCTGCTAACTGTAGGAGCTCAGCGTGCCATGCTGGGGCACTGATTTTTCAGAATATTTAGCATTTTCTGTCTTGAAAGCGAAGGATTGACTTCAGCGTGGAGCCGCAGAGCTCAGACGGGTCTGGGTGCTGCTCTTTAAGACGCGTGAGGCCGTATTGCTCCGCAGCTGTTACTGCCCCTTGGCTTTCACTCCCTGTTGAACTGTCACAGGGCTAGTGGTAACTACCAGAAGGAAGGGGTGAGAGAAGCCTCCACTGTGAGTAATGTGGGGTTTTTTCCTATGAAAAGTGAATTAATAGCTCATTTGATGATACTTGGAGAAAAAGTGTGGCCACTGACTTCCTGTCACCCAATTTTAAAAAGTATTTATCTAGCATCTCATAGAACCTCTGCGATGCAGATAGGAGGGTGGTCCAATATAATGCCCCACACCTAGTTCTTCACCTCAAGTTGTGAGCTGTTCCTTTCTTCTACTTTGTTTAACCATCTTGTGCCTCGTACGCTGTGCACGTTACAATATGGTGCAATAAATAAGGCAGGAACAGGTCAGGCCGTGTTACCTTTCATTGCATAACCGTGGTTGATCCATTCATCCGTGGTTTGAATGAGGCATAGATTTTTTTTTTAATTTTTTTAAGAGAAAATATGACACACAAGACTCTCATACCCTCAGGTATACGCGCAAAGCGGCCAAGCTGAGGGTTATAGGCAACTTTCTCTGTTGCTTTCTAAATTGGACGCTGGATTATTTCTAACCTTAATGCTCTTTTAATACGGAGGCTTCTTTTATGTATGTAATAGCTTTCACTTTTTTAAAAAAAAGGAAACTGCAACTGAATTTCGGGATCTTGGCTTTGTGTGTCCGTGTCTCAGTGTAGCTCTGCTTGTAGTTGAGTCTTAAGACTCATCTACAAGTAGTTTTAAAGCTATTGAGTAGGTTTGTGTCTTGCCCTGCCTCCGCAGTAACGGGGCAGAACAGCAGCAGTTCTCTTTGCTTCCTCTTATGTCTGCTACATCGTAGGTGTAAGAGCTTGTGCTGTTAAGATGCTTAAAATGCTTGTCCTGTTTCGTGAATATGCAGGTAGTCAGATGTGGGTAGAAAACCAAAACTGCTGAAGGGTTTGCAAAATTTCCAGATGTCTAGCTATAAGCTTCAGAATCATTTTTCCTGTCCAGGGGTCTCCTGAAACCTTAGGTGTTTGCTAGTCTGCAGTGAATCTTGAGGTTTTTTTCAGTCTATTCTGGAGTTCATGTAAAGTTCTTGCATCCACTGGTCATCTTATGAGGAATTCAACACATCTGCTAACTGCTGCATGGAAAAATATTTTTATATTTTATTATTTGAAACCAGATCCTGACTAGCTTTGTCATGCAAGTCCCTGAATTTGGGTTTACCGCTAGTTCTTTCCATGTTTTCTGTCTTTCTGCCAAAGATTCTTTTTATTTTCACATTTCCCTGGTTCCCCTTGCAGCTCGTCATCTGATGTATCTCTTCCAGCCTCTTGCGTTCCCACCGTTTTCCTCAGCAATTGCATTGTTTGAATTTCGGTGTCCAGTAAGTCTTAAATCCTCCTGAATCTCTCTTCACGCTCCCCAGTGCTTATTTTGGTATAAAGAGTGACCTCAGGTGTGACTCGTAGTCCCTCTGCGTTGGATTCGGGCAGCTTCTTCCCCCGTGCTGAACAGGACACGGGCTTCATTCTCTCTTCTGGTAGATGGATCTAATTCATAAGGTGAAGATTCACCTTATGTGGCATTGCTGGGGAAACGGGCTGCAAGACCTGTCGCTGTTTTAGCTGAGTACGTGTGAAATCTCTTTTGACGCTGTCATCAATCAGGCTGGGACCTCCTTGGAAGGAGAGAAGAAATTCTCCCCTCTCCTGGGAGAAGACGACTGGCCATGGCCAAGGGCTGTGTCTCCAGAGAGCTCCGTGTTGGCAGCCTTGCGAGTGGAGAGGGATCGAGGGACCACAAGTGAAGGGGAGGAGAGGGGCCGAAGGCCTCCTGGGAGCTCGGAGGGACCCTGCAGAGCTGCCTTTTTCTTTCTTTTTGAGTCGCTCCGGGCACGCGCGTATTCTCGCTGTCACTTTTGTGGCTGCTGAAATATTGCGGGTGGGTTTTCATGGGGTGGCAAAAATGTACATGCCTGGCACAGAGGTATTCCAAATTTGGTAGTTTTGCTCCCAAAACATGGAGCTGTAAAAAAAAAAAAAAAAGTCTGAAAAACAAGCTTTCCAGAATTTTGTTACCCATGAGCGAAGCCATTTTGGCTGTTAGTGGAGAGAAACTGGGGGGGGGGGGGAGAATCTTAAGGCAGATAGTTGGCTTGGAAAACCGCCTTTGGAAGCGCTGAAATTTCGCAAGATTGCAGGAGCAGAAAGCAGCAATCTCTTACAGCAAAGCTCCGCAGTCCGCAGCGCGCGTGCCAAGAGCAGCCTACAAGTCAATTTGAATAATACGCGTTTTGCATAATGGGGTGGAGGTCTGAGCCGCAGCCTTCTGCGGAACCCGCGTGCGAGATGATGCTCCCAGCTCCTGGCTTTCCCCTGCCTCTGCACCGACCCACGGGCCAGGGCGGTCAGCGGTGTCTGTTTGCTCCGAGTATCCACAAAACGCGTCCAGTTTGAGAAACAAGAGTCGGCTGGTGCCCCACTTCTTCCAGATCGCCCCTAAAAAGGGGGGTGTCGGGCAGCTTTGGTAAGGGGTTCGCTCCCGCCTTTGCACGTTGGTCCTTTGGTGTTCGAAATCCCAAATTTAATTTAGTTCTGGGTTTCGTAGCTGTAGCTACTCCAGAGTGCTGAGGCTGCTTTTAAATGGGATCTGTTGTTCTGTAAAGAGCTGCGTTGAAAGTAGTGGTATGATGAAAAATACAGCCCGGCTTTGTGATGTAATGGCTTTTACCAAATAAGGGAAATAAAACTAATTTAATTTACTGTGTGTTGCCTGTCGTCACTACAGTAAAGGTTATACTGGTGTTTATGAAAAGTTGCTACCTCAGTAATTTAATCAGCTGAACCACCGAAGCCCATGCAGGGGTGCGAAGTTCAGTATCGCTCGTCTTGTCTTGCAAAGAGCAAGTTGTTTCCGAAGCTGTTTAAAATGCTATTCTAACAGCAGCAGTTGGGAACAGGAATGCTGTTAACAATTAACAACTTAGTCATGCTAATTGATTGTATTGTGCAGGTAGGTTGTGAATTCTTAATGATGTGCTTTTTAATAAACTATCTGCTATTGGTTTTGTGTAGATCATCCTTTGCAGGCTGGAAGTGCCAAGTGCAGGATAATTCAGTGAATGATGTGGACTATTTCAGCTTCTTGTTTTCAACCCTTATAGGTAATCCATGTGAATGTCATAATTCAGAATTAACAAAATGAAATCTGTTTTGAGAGTCAATTACTGGATTTAATGTAGAATAAATGGTGTGGTAGGTGCTTCCTGGAAGTAATTCTAATCTTGTTACATCTTTTTGATACGAGAGACCCTTTTTTTTTTTTTTTCTTTTTATTCTCTTGATCTGATCTTTGACACCCTATTTTTACACTTTGCCATTTGGGCTGACTGTTTGCACGCTTTTTCTCAATTCTAGCAGCTTTCTCTGGGAAGTATGAGGAAGACCTAAATTCAGCATATGACATGAACAATTTTTTTTTTCTAGATTTAAGTAAATGCCTTTTATTGGCTCGTAAATTAGTGCCTCTGGGATTTCCTGTGGACATGCTTACGCTATTACAGACATTCCATCAGGATAAAGTAACCAAAGTACGTTGCAGTGAGCTGCCCAAGGTCAGCCTGTGAGCAGAATTACTGCTGCTACTATATTCTCACTCAGATTTAAAAATAGTTGTAATCTGTGGTGATGCAACTTTGGGAAATGACAGTGGTTCAAATGGCATACTGCTCCTGAGAACCACCTTCCAGTAACTTGTCCTGTGGTAAGAAGAAAGTGCCTTCATCACCTCAGTCATCCGTAGTTTCAATTAGTTTGCTTTCAAAAATTACCTTTTTTTCCCCTAAAACAGTGGAGAGACCTGTACTGATAACTGAGAAAACAGAAGCAAAACCAAAGCCACTGTTTTGGAGCAGTAGTCCTGTTACATTAAAGCTTCTAATACCTGGCTAGAAATAATTAGCCAAATGATTGATTTCATTATTTTTTTTTAACGTTGAGGTGGTGTTAGAGGGTTACTGAGTTATTGCGAACACACGGTGAACTGTCTTGCATTATACATGGGGGAGGGGTTATTATTTTGTAAAGATTTATACGTTGAAAATGGTGGCGTAACATTGGCCTCCTGCAGTTTGGGGTTGTTTATACCACGTTACAGTTTAAATGGGTATGCCGTTGATTTTTCAAATATTTTTGTTTTCTTTCAGAAGTCAGGATTTGTATTTTGATCTACTCGATTTAAAATACCAAGCCAGAGCTTTTAACAAATAAATGTAATTTGCAAGACGGGTTTTGTCAGTGATGCTGTCGAAGTAGAACGGTGCTTGGCTTGTTTTGTGATACTGTTGTACTGCTGCTTTTTCTCCAGGGTTCTCAAGAGAGGAGCTGACTAGTCTCCAGGGCATTAGAGGAAAACCACACATTAGCCAGACACAGCTTTCACCTGTCCGTCTCTACCTAACTGATCTGGACCAGTTTTTACACCACTGGGCTGTGACAGAGGTAATCCATCAACACTAATTCTAAATGACAGCGTACCAACTCCGAGCGCTCGCCGTCCCTTTTCCACAGATGCCTAAACCTTGTTGTGAGTTGAGTTGAAAAAAAAAAAAAAAAAAGGAAGGAAAAATGTAATAGCTGTCAAACAGCCGGTGTTTTTCTACAGCCAGCAGATCATGTTCTGAAGGAAACTGCTTTAAAAGGTGAATGTTCAGGTTGTAGCGTGCCAGACAGCACTCATGGAAAAAATGGGGAGAAGCCTTGGTGGAAAGTTCTTAAACGCTAATAAGATTAAGACCAGCAATATGTTTTGGCTTTCAAAAATAAATTAATTGTAAAAAATACTAATTACAAAGAGTTTTCTTTGAGAGTAAATTCCACTGTTAATTAAAAAGCACTTGCATTGAATCAGATTTTAATTTGGAAGCAATAATAGGTTGGCAGGGTTGGCATTGGTGATTATTTAGAGTAACTTCTGATGCTTATTTAATCAAAATTTACTGGGATTGGAAACTTCACTGTGAATTCAGTTCGTGCCTGTAAGATCGTAAGAGCTGAAAGCTTGATTTTAGCGTTGGTTCCGCCGGGATCTGAGCCACCAGATGTGATTCAGAACAGGGGTATCAGTCTTCAGTCTGGCACAACCTTTTTTATTGCTTAGCTCACCAGAAACCATTTCAGGTGTGAAATTGTGTCTTAATGACACGCCAGTTGGACAGTAGTTACGAAATCCCGCTCAGGAATACAGAAAGGAGCATCTCACCGAAGTTTTTATTAGTTGTATGATTCTGCGTTTTCACGGCGGGCTTTTTGGTTCAAGAAAGCAGTACAGTGGATTTTCCTCTTCTCATTCATAAAGTTTAAGTGATAATCTACTGAAACTAATGGTAGTCTGAGGCGTATATTGTGTGTGCGCTATTACGTATTATAAGAGTATTTTGAGCAAAGCTGTTGCCTGGTACCGTGACTGACACCCATCTTCAGACATCCTGCCTTCAGTCAGTTGGCCTGAGGAGCAGCTAAACCTTCTAATTTGCTTCGCTTTGTCTCTTCTGGGCAGTAATGAAGCGTTTCCTCGCCAAAACTCCTTTCTCCAGTATTGAAGGACTGGGCCACTTTCTCACCCTGTCCTGTACACAGCTGTTCCTCTGTGAACGCACCAGGGGGGTCACTTAACTCTGAAAGAGTTATCGTAGTCCCATACGTCATCTGAAGGATTTACATACGTTGCCTGTTTCTGAAAATGCCAACTCCTGTGTCTTCTCCTTCCTCTTTTTGCTGGTCTTCCACAAATCTGTCAGAGTTGGTTGAGAAACTACCCAACAGGACTGCTTTCACTTAGGGACAGTGAAGTGGTTCCACTGGAGATAGCTTGCTTGTGCCTTCGGTTCCTGGTTGCAAGTTTGATTGATTACCACAATCTTTTCAGTGTTTTGGTGCCATCAGGGAGAGTCAGTACTTTCAGGAACTTGCGCCTTGCTTTTGTTAAAGTACCTTTTCTTGGGAAGGATGCAAGGTGCTCTCTCAGGTTCTCAGAAGTGGATGGCAATCATGAAGGAAGGAGCTGGATGTCCTTGGTTAGTAGTGAGAGAGGATGTCCTGTGGAGCATTGCACTGCTTCTGCAGTTATGCGTCAGCCTGAAGTCTTTTCTGGCAACTTAAGTAAGAACAAA